TCTATCATTATATTTTCATTTTATCCTAATTTTTCTCTTTTCCATTGTCTATATAAGAAATGTTTAGTCAAAGGTTAAATCCCCGGCTCAGTCCCTCAACTTTTATTTTTGAACTAAATTTACCCTCGAACTTCAAAAAGTACTAAAAAAATCCTTGAACTTCAAATTTTGGAACCAATTTTGTCCTTCTGTTAGTTAAGTGCTGACATGGCAAAATTTCCCGTTAACAAATTCAATTTTTATTAATATTAAATATTACCTAGAAATAAAACAAGTGAAGTGGCATTTTTAATTATAAAAATATTGTTACTTGGCACCAAAAATATAATTTAATAAATAAAAATTTCCTTTCTTTCTTTTTTCTTTCCTTTCCTTTTTTTTTTCTCCTTCTCTTTCCTTTTCTCCTTCCCCTCCCTACTGGGTTCAAAGGAACCAAGCACCCTCGAACCCAGGCGCGGGTTCCTCAAACCCAGGTGCTTGGTTCCTTCAAAGGAACCCAGGGCCTAGGTTCGAGGAACCAGGCGAACCCAGGCCCTAGGTTCCTCGAACCCAGCACGCCTAGGTTTGCCTGGTTCCTCGAACCTAGGCCTTGGGTTCCTTCGAACCCAGCACCTGGGTTTAACCCAGCATGCCTGGGTTCCAAACCCAAGGCCTGGGTTTGAGTCGAACCTGCCTGGGTTTTTTCTTCTGTTTCTTTGTTGGCTGCAATCATGCTTGGCTATCTTGGTATGGGATTTAGAGTTTTGTGTGGCTTCTGATTGCTTGAATTTCAAGATCTAGTTACTGTTGGTGTTGATTGAAGGGATGTTGTGTTTTTTACATTTTCCTTTATAGATCTGGTATACATTTGCAGAGGAATTGATTTTTTGAATCAGATTTATTGGTCATTATTATTGTGCGAGGAACCAGATTTGGGTTCTATTAGAGAGGAGGTTTGGGGAAGAAGTAGATGGTGATTGGAGTGGTAATAGATGATCGGAGCAATGAGGATGATCGGTGCTGATTGGGTTGCAAGATGGGGAGACATTTGAGGATAGAGAGAGACAAGAGGGGATGGAAGATGAAGATGGGGTATTTAAGGAATTTTAAATTTTTTAATATATAAATTAATTAAAATGACGTGGATAATAATGAGTTAAGTTATTTTCCACATAATTAAAGATTTCAAACAAGAATTGATTTCGTGGCAACTTAACGTGCCATCTGGCACTTCCGTCGACGGAAGGACAAAATTGGTCTCGGAAATTGAAGTTCAAGGATTTTTTAAGTTCTTTTTGAAGTTTGAGGGTAAATTTAGTTCAAAAATGAAAGTTGAGGGACTAAATCAGGGATTTAACCTTAGTCAAAACATTATTAAGTCTCAATCTCTCATCTTCTCGCTCAACATTTTATCTAAACAAAATGCTCAAATCCACCTTCATACAAAAGACAAAAACAAACCCATCCACAAAGTTTTTTACCATGATAAATCACTCTAAATTTAACATGTGATGTCAGCAATCTATTAACAATAAACTTATCAACAGCATGACAAGTTAACAAATTGCTGATGTCATTTGATATCACACATTAAATTTGAGATGATTCATCGAAGTTAAAAACTTTTTAGATGGATTTGTCTTTTTTTTTTATTCGGGATGAATCCACCTCTATTACCTAATTTTGAGGGTAGATTTGAGTATTCTACGTTTTATCTGTATATATTTATACCCTATATTTACCTCTATAAATTAGTCATTTGTTTTTTTATTATTCTTTCTTCACTTATCATTGTCTCTCTATTATTCTTCCGTAGTCATTGCAGGCATCATTATCTATCATTATTTATCTCTTTGTTTCTATTCCAATTTTCTTTGTCTTATTGTCTGTACTAGAAACTTATAAGGTTAAAACATAAAAAACACAAATTATTACTATTGTTCTTTGGAATTTTTTCACCTACATATACTTTACCCCTCATTAGTTTTTTCTTGTTACTCTATCTATTAGCTCCCTAATCGTATTTTATCTTTATATCTTACATTCGTCATCTTTTTCCCTCTATTTTAATAAATGGTCAGCGTGTCGGCACCTCTTCCTATTTCCCTTTTATTTTGGTCTACATATATAAATAGGAAATAAATTGTAGCTGTAGTGCTATAAAATTAGAAAGATATTAAATAAAAGTCAAGTCAAACCTATAATAAGAAAGAAAGTGTGAAGAAAGTTAATAATAAATCAAATCTTATTGAGGTAAGATTTCAATATAATAAATGATGAATATAAGAAATTCTTAGGTATCAGTTTTGATTTTTTTTGGAAAAAATAAAATTTTAACCTACATTTAGAAATTAAAATTTAACAATATTAAATATTGATATCTAAAATTGAAAACTAATTATATATTTTAATATAATCAATTTTTAAATTTAAATATCAACATTTAATAAGATAAATTTTTAAATTTTAAATTGAGTTTTAATTAAATAAAACGACTTAATTTAAGGTTTAGACACTAATTTATTTTTAGAATCAAGATTGATATGTATTTTTCTGTAAATGTAAACTACTCTTTAATAGATATTTTATAAAGAGTCTGTTAGGTATTTATTAAAAATCTTTTAAAGCCTATTGGCTATTTATTAAAGAATTTTTTAAAGTCCAATTAAGTAGATATTTATTTAAGAATTTTATGAAGAATTTTATTGTTACAATAATTTATATATAGTTAAGATATAAGCAAACAATGTATACAAAATCTAAATGTTTGAAGCCAAAGAGATGGAATACCTGAACTGATTGATGATTCAGGGTGCGAATGGGGGTCGGAATGGGATTGCCGTTGTTGATGCATTTCAGCCAATTTGTTCCTAGTATCTTTGGCAGAACTGATATCCTTTATTAAAGCAAAAGCACATGGTGAACATGTAATGTGAATTGCATGTAGAGCTGCAGCATTCTTTTTCGTCTGATCAACCTTGTCTGAAGAAGGAAGAGCATCAGTATCCTCTTCGACCACGTCCCAAAGATCTTGAGTCAACTTTCACAGAAAGTTTTTAAGGAAAATTGTCCAATGTTCATACTTTCAAAGTTCGAGAAGAAATGGAGCAATTGCATTGGAAGTACCATTTGTTGCCATTTCAAATCTATATCAAACCATCACCAAATAAAAAAAGAAAAAAAGCATCTAAATCAGCTCCTCTGCTCTTATTTAGCAATCATAATTCATAAATAATATTCAAGCATTCTTAATATTTACTAGAAGTACTACACTTAGTCAATTCATGTAGTATCGAATATTGGAAGAGATTGGGGAAGAAAAGAACTAGGAATAATCAAGATGTATGATAGCCAATAGAAATTGGCTAATAAAATCATCTGATGTATAATTATAAAGCCGCCAGTACGAATAATCATCAGTTGAATTAAAAAACAAAAAAGAAAGAAAGAAGGAAACTAGTATGGTACGCAACAAGATTACGAGGGGAATAAATGAAGAGATTGTGGGAAGAAGAGAAGAAGGAATAATTTATTCTTTTAAAGTCTTGAAGACCAAAGAGAGAAGATTATCAAATATTGATTGGTATACATTTTAATTCAACATATTTATTAAAAAAATTTATTTTTTTTATCTAAAATTAAAGGTAAATAAATAAAAAAATACAATCATGCATTAGAATGTAAAAACCAATTGAATTCGTTATATTTTTATTATATTTTAATAACTGAATAAAAACAAATGTCAAAAAATTTGTTAAACCTAGAGTGAACCAATTATATTCCTTTTATTATTAATATTAATATTAATATTATTATTATCGAAAAAGTGTTTTACAAAACTATACATTAAAAACACAATTCATCTTGTGAATTTACTAGAATACCTTTAATTTAATTTTATAAGACAAACTACACTTTTAATATATAATCAGACTGTAAAACATAAATTCCTATTATTATTATTATTATTATTATTATTATTATTATTATTATTTTGTTTCTTGGTTCAAATAGGAGACAAAATGGAGAAGAAAAGGAGGTAGAACATAAGCTGAAAATAGAGAGTATAACACTCTAACTCAAGTTTCTCATTAACAAGTTATTGACACCCACTTAAAATTTCATAAATAAATAAATTAAATTTGAAAATTTAGGTTTTAATGGTTGAAAATAAAAGTTGTCACTTTTTTAAAGGTTAAATTTAATTTTTTATCTACTAACTATTTCTTTCTTTTCATTTTAGTCTACAAAGTTTAGTTTCTTTCAAAATCATCTATAAACTTTGAAAATCATTTCAAATTCATCTATCTAACAAACTTCCATCAGTGGTTTTTACGGAATCCTATGGATGCTGATGTGGCAGCAATTATGTAGTATATGTAGTTTTGAAAAATTACACTTTAACTCCAAGAACTTCACAAAATTATCAATTACATTTTATATTTAAACCATTCCACAATACAATTTACTAACTAAGTTTTTAAATAGATTAAATTAAAATTAATCAAAATTAATGATAAATAATTAAGATTGTTAGCTTAATTTTTTAATTAATTAAGATTATAATATTATTTTTTATCAAATTAAAATTAAAAAAATCTTCTAAATGTAAAAATTTTAAAAATGTATTTTCTCTATCTTAAAATAATAAAATTTTTGAATTTATCTTTAAATTAAAGATTTAGAAACAATTTCTATTATTACATATTTTATCCTTAAAAAAGAAATAAAAATAAAGAACTTTTTTAAGAATAATGATAAATAGGACCGGTATTTGGGATTAAAATTTAACTAATGTCACGTTATTTTAAATATTAAAAAGTGGATATTATATTATTTAATAATTATTTTTTTTAGGACATGTGATATTGTAGATAATAATAAGGTTAAAGTAAAAAAATATATTTGTAATAGCAATTACCATTTTCGCTGAATCATGTAACACATTCTTGTTGCAGGGTATTCTGCTACTATGGGTTAGTCTAAGTCCATCCAACAGTATTCTCCTTTTTTACTTAATTTATGAATATACAAGAAAAAAAAAATAAATGGAGCGTACTAGGGTCAGAGCGAGGGGTGCGGCGGCGAGGACAGACGGCGGCAAGGTTCCAGAGGACAGTCAAATGGGTTAAACAATCAGGATACAAGACAAGTGAAGACATTCTTTTTCTACAATTTTCCAGAAAACCGTGAGGCTGCTGCCTTATGGTATGATTTCGCAAAGTATGGGAAAGTGGTTGATGTTTATGTGCCGAGAAAGAGAGATAAGTGGGGCAAAAGGTTTGGCTTTGTTAGAATGGCAGGGGTGCAGAACGAGGCTCAGATGGTGAAGAGGCTTAATGAGATATGGATTGGGTACTATAAGATGAGAGTTAAGATTGCAAATAAGAGCCAGAATCGAGGTGCAAGAAATACAAAGCTATTGACAGCAGCAAATGTAAAGTGGACAAAGGTTGGAATGAATAGATTAGTTCAACCGGGGCATTCATATGCTCAGGCTGTTGTGGGTAACAGTAGTGCAGGGGAAAAGGTAGGTGCAGGGCCAGCAACTGCGACAGAGAGGGCTCGGGAAGTATCAGAACCAGTACCAGTACAGGCATTTCGATTAGTGGAGAAGGAAGAGGTGGGGTCGAGTGCAAAGGTGGTTGCAAAAGAGGTGCAGATGGGTGGGGTTGAGAAACAACGTGAGGAGGAGATCATTGAAATCTTACCGACGGAAGAGGAGCTTTAGTGGCTGGAAGGAAGTATGGTTGCTTCGATGAAGGCGTTGTCGTCAATAACGAGTATACAAGAACGGATGGATGTAGATGGAGGCCTGATAGTTTTATCACCATTAGGAGGACGATCAGTGCTGTTAATTGAGTGGGTGAGAGGATATCTGACGGAGTATTTGTTGCAAAACAAGGAGACATTTGACGCGTGGTTTGATGATATACAACCCTGGAGAGCAGCATATGTGCAGCGAGGTCGATTGGCCTGGTTACGAATATCAGGGGTACCGTTACAAGCCTGGAATGATCGTTGTTTCGAAATGGTGGGAGGAACGGTGGGGGAAGTGGTCCGGATTCATGAGGATACCAGAAGAAAGTCTATTTTGTGTGATGGGAAGGTGCTGGTTCTCTGTTCCGAGGCTCCTAAAGTCTCAAAAACCATTTCGTTGAAGGTGGATGAGAAGATGTATGAGATAGATGTAGTGGAAGAGGAATGGAGATCGGATCCGGACTGGTGGTTGTCGGAAGAAGACCGGCAGAGCTCGATGAGCACTGCATCGGAAACTCATTCAATGCAGAGCGAAGATGACGGGAATGAATTAATCATTAACGGGATTAGTGGCGAGGATGATGATAGTTTGGATACGGAGCCGTTACACAATGAAGATTTTTTGAATGCAAGAGTGCAAGAGGTAACGGCATGCGAAAATCAGGCTGAGTTGGATTTGCCGCGGGAAGTTAGAGAAGTAAATGGGTATGATATAGGCGAGGAGAATGATGAGGGGAATGGGCTGGTAAGGGGTGATGTCCATAATGGACTGGAGGAGAGTTTTGGGCTTTCTAAAGGCCCAACAACTGAGGCAAGTAAAGATAAAGAGGAAGAGCCCACGGGAGAAGCTCTAGAGAGTTCTAGCATCATTCAAAAAGAAAAATACCGAGAAGGGAAGGGTAAAAGAAGGAGAAAAGTTGCAGAGTGCTACCCGAAAGAGTTGTCTGAAAGCCGGACAGAGAGGGTGGACTGGGTCACTGCACGGACAAAGTAGAGGCACGCGAGACGGGTAGAGAAGGCTCAAATGGTGACCAACGAACTAGTAGATCGAGCTGGATGTGAGTCTCTGTCCGATGGGTGCATTGAGCACCGAAACCAGGTAATAAAACGAGATCTAAATCTGCTGGAGGTGAGGAAGATGATGATTATAGGGAGAAGATTGGGTATTCAATTCCAGGAAAATGAAGAGGAAATTGAATCTAGACTATGTGGGATGGAGGAAAGGGATGAAAGGTAGAGTCAACATCCGTGAGGTGCGGGTGGATGTGGGTAGTGTGGGTGTGGGTATAATTTTTTTTTTATGAAGGTGATGTCTTTTAATGTTAGGGGTTTCGGGAGTATGCTGAAGAGGAAGGAAGTGCAGAAATTGGTGCGGTTAGAAAAACTAGATTTCTTGTTTTTACAAGAAACCAAATTAGAAGAGATTGATGAGGGTCTTTGTAAAATGGTGTGGAATTCGAATGGGTTTGAGTGGGTTGTGAAGGGGTCTATAGGGGCTTCAGGTGGGTTGCTTTGTGTGTGGGACAGGAGGAATTTTAGTAAGCTGGGTCAATTTACAAGGGATGGTTATCTGGGAATAAAAGGGCTTTGGGGAGAGAAGAAGGAATTGTGTTATCTTGTGAATGTTTATGCTCCAAATGATAGAAAGAAAAAAGCTGAGTTATGGGATGAGTTGAGGCAAATGATTATGGAGGAAGGAGGAAGATGGCTGATTGCAGGGGATTTTAATGCAGTACGTAGCATTGAAGAAAGGAGGGGTAAAACAGGGGAGAGTCCAGAGATGAAGGAGTTTAATGATTTTATAGAGGCGGTGGGGTTGGTGGACTATAAATTGGCGAATCGAAGGTTTACCTGGTATAGACCAGATGGCACAGCTATGAGCTGGTTGGATAGGGTATTGATGACAATTGAGATGACCGAATTGGGTGGAGAATGGGTGCAGCAGGGGTTGAAGAGAACTATTTCAGACCATTGTGCGATTGTTATGAAAACCAAAGTAACGGATTAGGGTCCTAAACCATTTAGGGTGCTTGATGCTTGGTAACAACATCCGGAGTTTAAGAGGGTGGTTGAGGAACAGTGGAATACAATGGCAGTGGATGGGTTTGCGGGTTTCAGATGTAAACAAAAATTGAAGATGTTGAAAGAATTTTTGCGAGAATGGAATAAAGGGGTGTTTGGGGATATAGAGGCTCATTTTGAAAGGGCAGCAGCCAAAGTTGCACGTGTAGACATGAAGAATGAAGATTTTAACATGAAGAATGAAGATTTTACACTGGAAGAGGATGAGGTACATGAACGACAAGAGGGCTTTCAGGAGATATGGGACATTCTGAGGAAGAGGGAAGCTTTATGGAGGCAGAAGTCAAGAAGTACCTGGGTAAAATTGGGGGATGCAAATACCAGGTTCTTTCATAAAATGGCAAATGGACGAAAGGCTTGTAATGGTATTGTAGGGCTCTCGTGTGAGGGACAATGGGTGGAGGAGCCAGAGATGGTGAAAAAGGCGGTTGTTGAGTACTTTCAGAAGTTGTTTGGTGGGGAAGCATGGAATCGTCCAAAACCTTTTGGTATTACTTTCAAGCAGATAACTGAGGAGATGAGGGCATGGCTAGAAAGACCATTTTCGGCAGAAGAAATTGAAGACGGATTGAAGAATTGTGAGGGGAATAAAGCACCAGGACCGAATGGATACAACTTTAATTTTATCAAATTTGCCTGGAACAGCTTGAAGGAGGATTTTGTGAGTTTCTTTGGGGAGTTTCATCAGCATGGCAGGTTAGTAAAGGGTCTAAATTCATCATTCTTGACTTTAATCCCTAAGAAGCTGAATCCTGTGGAATTAAAAGATTTTAGACTTATTAGCCTGATTGGGTGTCTTTACAAATTATTAGCAAAGGTGTTGGCAAATAGGCTTAAGGTGGTAATGTCACAAATTATTAGTGATACTCAGTCGGCTTTCGTTGGGGGTCGTCAGTTGGTTGATGGGGTGTTAGTCTTGAATGAAGTTGTTGAGGAGGTCAAGAGACGAAAGCACCAAGCTTTTATTTTTAAGGCCGACTTTGAAAAGGCCTATGATTGTGTCGACTGGTCTTTTCTGGATTGGATGATGAATAGGTTTGGTTTTGGAGTGCGATGGAGAGGATGGATAAAAGAGTGTCTTTCAACAGCCAGAATCTCAGTGTTAGTGAATGGAAGCCCAACTGAGGAGTTTATGATGGGAAAAGGTTTAATGCAAGGGGATCCTATATCCCCTTTTTTGTTTCTGATGATTGCCGAGGGGTTACATGGTCTAGTCAAAAAAGCTGAGACAAAGGGCCTGATACATGGAATCGACGTGGGTAGCAACGGATTGACTATTTCATTGCTCCAATTTGCGGATGATACGGTGATTTTGGGAAAAGCAAGTGGAGAGAATATTTTTATGGTGAAAACTATTTTACGGTGGTTTGAGTTAATGTCTGGATTGCGAATTAACTTTCATAAAAGTAGTATTGTCGGATTTAATGTGGCACAGAGGTGGTTAAATGGAGCAGCATTTGTTTTGAGATGTGGTGTTGGGAAGATACCTTTTGTGTATTTGGGTATGCCAGTGGGTGGAAATCCTGGGACTAAGAAGTTGTGGGACCCAGTGCTGAATAAATTTCGAATCAAGCTTGCCGCCTGGAAATCTGCCTTGCTGTCCTTTGGCGGTCGCATTACTCTGCTTAATTCGGTACTCTCCTCCTTACCTATTTTTTACATGTCTTTATTTTTAGCGCCTAATTGTGTGGTGTCTGAATTGATTAGAATATAGAGGGATTTTCTGTGGGGTGGGGTTGAATTAAAGAGGAAGATTCCTTGGGTTAGCTGGGAGACGGTATGTCGTAGTAAGGAGAAGGGTGGGTTAGGAGTCTTGGATTTGAGGAGGAGGAATTGGGCACTTTTAGGGAAGTGGTGGTTTCGGTTGGGTGAGGGTGGGGAGAGTCTATGGAAACGGGTTGTGTGGGATAAATATTATGGAGGTCGGAGGGAGGTGGACATTAGGGTAATGGATAGTGTGAGGATGTCTAGGATTTGGAGGGATGTTATTAGTGTCGGGGGGAAGTCTATCAAATTACAGGACATGTTAGAGAAGGGGTTTAGGTGGATGGTTGGTGATGGAAGGCATGTAGGTTTTTGGCGCGAGATTTGGGTGGGAGATAAATCTCTAAAGGAGTTATGCCCTAGGCTATTCGAGCTAGCTATGAGTAAGGATGGTATGGTTTGTGAGATGGGGGTGTGGGAAAGGGGTGTCTGGCGATGGAATGTGAACTGGAGAAGAGGGAGGTTGGGTCGAGAGAAGGGGGAGGAAGTGATGCTGTGGGAGGTGCTTAGCAGAGTTCAAATCGCGGAAGGCCGCGAAGATTGCTGGAAGTGGACGCATGATGCAGAAGGGAGATACGCAGTGAAAAAGGCCTATGAGTTTTTGTCACCAATGGAGTCCATTCTTCCCGATCAAATCTGTAAGTTGATTTGGTGTAAATTAGTACCCTCAAAAGTTAGTTTCTTTGGGTGGCGATTATGTTTGGACAGACTCCCAACAAAAAGAAATTTAGAAAAACGAGGGATTAATTTGTCGATAGAAGATCTAAGGTGTGGTTTGTGCAAAAAGGAGGAAGAGGAGTGTAATCATTTATTTTGCTCATGTGATGAAGCTTGGGTGATTTGGGGTCAGGTGATGTCCTGGTGGGGTTTGCAGGTTGTGATGCCCAATACAGTGGGAGGGGTGATGGAGGTTTTCTTGTATGAGTTGGGGGGTATGGTAGGGAGAGAGATAGGGGCGTGTCTTTTCCTTGTGGGGTCTTGGTATATTTGGTATTGGAGGAACATTAAAGTTTTCCAAAACAAAGGGGAGAGTAGGGACGGGCTGCTCCATATGATTCAATCCAAAACATTCCTATGGATTAAAAATAAGGTGGCTGGTAGTGTCTTCTCAATTGTAGATTGGAAACTTAATCCACGGGAATGTGCCGTAGCCATAAGGAAACATAGAAGCTTGCTGAGAGTGTTCCATAAACACAAAAATGGAAAGCCGGATGAGTAGAGTGACTGCAATGTGTTGGACTACATGTTTATTGGGATTACTTTGTTTTAGTTAGATTACTTTAATTGTTTGTATTTGGGTTGGAGTACCCCTTGTACTCTATACAATCAAATCTCTTTTATTTTGCTAATAAAAAAATATATATATATTTGTAAAGTAAAAAAAATTTGTTTATCTTAAAAAATAAAAAATAATAATTAATTCAAGACAAATTTGAAATTATAGAGCAATAATTATTTCTAAAAATTTAAATTAAGGATGTAGAGAGTACATTACTCCATTTGTCTCAAAATAATTATCACTCTATAATTTAAAATTTGTCTTGAATTAATTATTATTTTTTATTTTTTATAATAAACAAATATATTTTTTTACTTTAATCTTATTATTATCTACAATATCACATGTCCTAAAAAATTTAATCATTAAAAAATATAAGATCTACTTTTTAATATTTTAAATAATGTGACATTAGTTTAATTTTAATATCAAATTTTGGTCTCAAATTTTGATCATATTTATCATTATTCCTAAAAAGGTTCTTTATTTTTATTTCTTTTTTAAGGGTAAAATATGTAATAATAGAAATTGTTTCTAAATCCTTAATTGAAAAATGTTTATTATTTTAAGATAGAGAAAATATATTTTAAAATTTTTACATGTAAAAGATTTTTTTAAATTTTAATTTGGTAAAAATAATATTATAATTTATAATATTAGTTAAGTAACAAATTAAGCTAACAATCTTAATTATTTATCATTAATTTTGATTAATTTTAATTTAGTCCATTTAAGCACTTAGTTAATAAATTGTATTGTGGAATGGTTTGAATATAAAACTTAATTGAAAATTTTGTGAAGTTTTTGGAGTTAAAGTGTAATTTTTCGAAGCTACATATACCACATAATTAGTGCCACATCAGCATCCATAGGATTCCGTTAAAAACACTAATGGAATTAAAAACACTAATGGAAGTTTGTTAGATAGATGAATTTAAAATGATTTTCAAAATTTATAAATGATTTTAAAAGAAACTAAACATTCTAGACTAAAATGAAAAGAGAGTAATAATTAATAGATGAAAAATTAAATTTAACTTTTTTTTTTTAAATTATAAGGTAGAAAAGTCGCTTAAGATGGTCTGTGTAAAGATTGAAATCCAAGAATCTAATTAGGAGCGAGGGGGCATTAGCACACCTTACAGTCTGCTGAATAGATACGGTTGCATGATTTGACATTTGGAAAATTATTTCAACTTATAAAACATTCTTTTAAGGTTTAAGTACCATTTTAGTCCCTCAACTTATCACTTTGGTACCAAAATTGTCCCTTAGCTTTAAAAAGTACCAAAATTATCCTTGAACTTTCATTTTCGGTACAAAATGGTCCTTCCGTCAGTTAAATGACAGGTGGCACGTTAAAATGCCAGCAAAATCACTGCTTTTTTTTACTTTTAATGACGTGTAAATCCAGCAAA